ACCAGCCCTCTCCTCCCTGCCCCGAGCCTTGCAACTGGTTTCTCACCACTGGCATACTGGGCATCTGCCTCTGCAGCATCGTGCCAGCACCACCTGCCTCCAACCTGGTGGGAACTGGGGTGTGTGGGGGGTGACAAATTTGTCCAGATGGGGCAGCGGTGGCTTTGCTTCCTGCCAGCAGCATCCCTCAGGGTGCCTGAGCCACATCCCTGCATCTCGCTGCGATTCCAGCCGTCGGGCGGGATGCTGGAGTGGAGGTGATGCTCCCACAGCTCCCACCAGCACCTCGGCTCAGCGCAGCCACAATATCAGGTGCAGGAGGCTCAGCTGGACCCGGGGGACAGCAGCCAGCCCCTGGGATGCCCACACACTGGGGCTGAAGGGTACCACAAAACCCCTGCTAAATCAAAGGGCTCCAACCCCACCAAGGCAAGGGGCTCCAACCCTTCTGCCTGCAGGGTTTGGGTCGGCGATTGGACCAAGACACAACCTGTTGGGATGCTTTAGGAACCTCTGAGCAAGCTTTTAAGAAGCTGGGATGGGTAGGAGAGGGGGCATAGCAAAACCCAAAATTAAAGGAAGGGTTTGGCTGGGGTGTTCCCTCCTCCAGCCCGATGCTCTGCAGCCCCAGCATCAGGAGAGCAGGAAAGCAGCATCCATGGGGACTGAGGATGAACCAGCAGGAGAGCAGCATCCGTGGGGACCGAGGATGAACCTGGCTGGGAGGGTCTGCTCCAGCTCTTCCAAGACCCTCTGCATCCTGAAGCAGGGACAACGCTGGGGTCTGTCCTTACATCAACATCCTGGCAGGATCACCATTAGCCACCCGTGGAACAAACCTGCCATCTAAGATGTGCTCTGGAGCCGGTGTCAGCAGCCGCGAGGCAGCGAGGGGTGGGACACAGCTGCCCAAGCAGCCGGGGATGCTGACACCCTGACAGACCGTCAGCACCGCGCACCAGCCTGGGGACCCCGTGCAGAGCATCCTGCTGAGCTCCGGGATCGCTGCAGGTACGCCCAGGGGAAGGGAAAGCTACTGCCCAAAGAGTTGAGGGTGTAAACAGAGGAAGGAAGAAAAGATGAGAGATAGACAGAGGCTGAGGCTTTGCTCAGGCAGCCCCGGAGCCCAGCTCTGCTCCCGGCAGCTGTCTGGATGCCACATGCAAACCGCTGAGCAGAGATTTCCTTTGGCAGCAATAACAAGACAAAGATCTCAGGCACCATAAAATTTTCTGGCGCATTAAATATATATATTTTTTAATCACTACAAATATAAAGTTCTGAAATAAATAAGAAGAAACAAGGAGCTATTTTTGCATCTCTGAACACAGACACCAAGGGACCCTGCTCTCGGGGACAAGGCGCAGAGCTCGGTGGTCCCAACCTCAGCGCACGTGTTTGAACAAGGCTCAGGTGACCTGCTGACCAAGCCCTGGGGCATGTCATCCTGTGATTTCTGCTATAAGGGTAAGAAATGTTGCAGACCGTGTCACCCTCACAGGCTGCTTGGTTCTGTGCCGGGAAGATTGCTCCTGGGTCCCGGCTGCCCCGCTGCCTCCAGACCTCCTGCACTGTCGGTGAACACGCGCTAGTCTTTAATGCAGTTATTTTCTCATCTCTTGGACGGCCAGTAATTGTGTTACAGCCATGACTGCATGCCCAGAAGGGAGCATTTTCATCATCTGAAGTCTGATTTTTCCAGGTAACACAGCCCAGAGATTCCACTCTCACCAAACTCAATATTACTGGAGCTGAACGGAGCACGACCTCCGAGAGCTGCCTCACCCGAGTTCACAAACCCTCCACCTCCCCAGAACAGAAGGAGTTTGCTCTTGGGGACCATCAACCATTCTGAACAAAGAAATGGGGTTAAACCTTTGAGTTATGGGTCTGTTAAACTCAGCAGAGCCCTAGATGTTCATTGCCACTGATGAGTGATGTGGCCAAGGTCTCCTGCCGCGTCTGCAGGGCTAAGGCGAGGGGACGGCTGGTTGGTTATTTGGTTGCTCACCTGGCAAAACCTCGTAGATGTCATCCTCTTCCATCTCAACATTTGGCTCATCCTGATTCAGGGTAGTATTGTGGGATGTTGTGTTCACAGAGTCAGAACTGTCCACATCGTTGTAGAGCTCTTCATCCTCCTCATCGTGTGGGATAGTGAAGGAGCTCAGATCTGGCAGAAGAGAGCAAAAGCATGGTGAAAAAGAGCAAAAACATGGTGAAAAAGAGCAAAGCAGAGTACCGGTGGGATGCTGGTACTTTCAGCGAGCTGAAGGTCCCCCCTTGAGCACGAGCCCACCTGGTGCTGGAGGGAGCATCTCAAGCTGGGTGGGAAGATGCTGCCAGGACCTGCTGGCCTGGACCAAGCTGCCAGACTCACCCTTCATGAGGAACTGGATCTGATCCACCCAGTCTTCAGCCTCTGCTGGGCTTGGGGCTGTGAACTGGAAAGAGGTTGACCTGTTATTGTCCTGGCTTTTGTGTGTAGGAAGCGGGAAAAGGGTTTGCAGCTAGGACAGGGGATGGAGATCCTGGATCTGCTGTTCTCCTCCCTGTGACTTTGGGAAAGTCATTTCCCTTCTTTATCTCCCTATTCCAAACAGGGAAACAGAAGCGGAACAAAGCTAGACTATCCCAGAGGAAGGCTGTCAAGACTAATTCATTAAAATAATTCAGATGAAAACCACAGTCCCCACTGAACAAACCATAGTGACTCTGAACCGAGACTCTACCTCCAGAATCTCCCAGAAGCTCAGGAAGGCTCTCGTGCACACTTTGTGGATTGGGTCGGGTTTTTCATTACATCAGTTTTTAGGCTCTCCACTGGATGCTCAACAAACTGAAGGTTTAAATTTCACCTGGCTCTGAACTTTCCAAACCCCACCCTCTACTGCACCTAACCCATGTTCTCACTTGATCCTGGTGCCCCACAAGTGCTCAGAGAGCCCAGGATCACTCTTGTGCCACAGGAAGGTCCATGTGGAGATGCCCAGCACAGAAGGTCCATTTCTCCCCCCAGTTCCTACCTCGTAGGTGCGTTTGCCAGGGCAGGTTAACTCAAAACAGCATCTTTTCCGAGAGTCCTTGCGGAGGTGGGAAGCCAGCTGGGCACTGTAGTGCTCAATGGGGAAGGTGCCTTTAGGTTGCTTGCCTGGGAGAAGAGAAACACGCTAAGTCTGGAGTTTGCATCTTTTTATCAAGCTCGCAGCACTGCTGGGTGGTGCAGGCATCTGTTGCTCACATAGGGAAACTGAGGTACATCGCGGTTCAGTGGGAAACGGCCAGAAAATAACCCTTCAGTCTAAGCACATCCACCCCCAGGAAATCCAAAGGGAATATTATAAAGTCTTCATAAAGACGCAGCAAAGAGGATGTCCTTTAAAGCCTCAAGAGACTGCGAACAGCCAGCGAGAGGTTGCTGGGGTCAGAAGGTTGCGTGAGACGAGGCGGTTGTAATGAAGCAGAGACGCTGTGTGCTCGGGGAATTGCGATACCAGGGATTGTGCTGCTGGTAAGGGATTAACGGGCTGGAGTACAAGGAGAAATCCTCAGTGGGACCTCTGAGACTTGGCTGACAGGTCTTGCTGGTGCACACGCACAGCCGGTGTCACCCAGGGTGGCAAAGGCAACCTCACTGCAGCCATCTGAGGCGTCTTCATCTACCCCAGCTCATTCTGTCCTTATGAACCTTCCATGAGGATGCATGGGAGCACCTTTCAGGCAGTTGCTCTTGATCTTTTTTTTGATTTGCAGATCCTTAAAAAACTCCCAGGGGTGAGGTCAAGCCCCATATAAGGATTGCAGCCCATCGCTAACAGGTTTGCTTTACTCTGTTGTCTTCTGGAGAGCATTTGGAAGCCAACAACTGGTCCTCACCAACCCAACATCAACCCTTGGCTTCAACGCCCACCTCTGCTGGCAGCTGGCTGGGGAAGCCCGAGCAGCCCGTACCCCCGCACGTACCCCGCCAGGGTGAGGGGAGCTGGGAAGCTTGTTGGGAAACAAATCCTCAGACAAAGGATGGGGAAGAAGGACAAAGAAACAGCTTCATCCCCAGGACCCACTGGAGTTGAGCCTGTCCGAGCCCTGGGCTAGCTGCTGTAGACCAGGGATGTCCGTGGGCGTTGTGCGAGCCGTTAGCACGCCGCGTTTCGGGAAGGACGGAACAGAGTGAGGCCATACATCTCATCATGCCAAACTCTGCTGGAGATATTAGCTGTCTGTTTATATGTACCTGATGGAGCATGACCGCAAAATATTTATATACACTGACACAGGGATTATATACAGGCACTGAGGGGGCAGCTGATGGCTAATGGAAAGCTTGGTGCATCGTTTTATTTACACACAGCTCTGCTCCTGGGTTTCTCTTCTCTTGTTCCTTACCTATAAGGGTGTTTGGGGGAAAAAAATCCCAAAAATCAATCCGAGACCTACCTTTCTGTAACCTGCATCTTATGCCTTGACAGGGAATTGCAGCTTTCCCATGGAATACACTTTTCTCTTGTCAAATATTAGCCTCCAGCGAGGGCTCTCCCCTTCTCTTCTCCAGCCCTGCCCATGCCCCCAGCCCCCACCCACGCTCTGGGGACCAGCGGCTGATTTCTCACCACTTACTTTTCTCATTGGCGTAGTAGTAAAAGGTCCTTCTGTTGAGGACACACCACCGCTTCTGCCACTCCGACCCGAAAAAGCTGTGCTCTGCAAAGAAAAGGATGGCCAAAGAGTAAAAAATAGTCATTCCTGGTCTTTCACTGTATGCTTTCGATGAATATTTGGGGGCAAGAAGATTTTTTTTCCCCCCCAACAAAATCCTGCAGATTTCTGGCACAAAATTCAGGCAAGCAAACCTAGATACTAAACCCCAACCAAGTAAGGGAGAGATAAGCCAGCCTGTCCTGCCAGGCTGGAGTCCCTGCAAACCTTCCCCAGCTCTCCAGGCTAGGCTAGGTTGAGCTGAGCTGAGCTGGGCTGGGCT